TGTAAAATAAGAACATTTCATTTACATCAATTATTAATTCTAGCTGTGTGTGTGAACCAGCGATTTTTTGGGAGGGAGCAGTAAAAAAAAATGCTGGTGGTATAATAGCATACTTTCTTACCGACAGGGCAGGTGATATGATAGCATACCTTCTTACCGACCGAGCCCTCGGCACTGGCTGCAGCATTTTTTTTTTATGAGAATTGCAGCTGGCCACCGCGGCAGCAGTGATGCTTCATGACGTCACGCTGGCTGTGTTGCCCGCCAATAGCATTGAGTTGCCATCCCCTGGTCGGCAGTATCTTATGATTGAATGCATATGATCGCGTAGTAAATCATTATATATTTTTACGGGACATTTTATTTCCGAAATTTCTCGCATCATAAACACTTGCATATATTTTTTGTTAAACTCTCTACATAATCTATTAAACTGGAATATACTACGATACTTACAGTGGACGTAAATGCATTTTTCCGAAATCCTGATATTTCAAAACGCTCTCAAGTGCATGATATCACAATTATCTTGATTTACTCTTACAATTTCCACAAGTTCCGCAAATTTTCTCTTTTCCAATTTTCCCATTATTAACTTTATTATGGTTTTCGACATATGTCAAGGACATACATATGCTTTATATGAAAGGTATCCACCCCACAATACTAGTGCTCAAATAGTAGATAGGGAAATCACTGATTACGATCTGAACCTAACAATATATCATTCAACATAAACAATAAACGAACACTTCACAATATATCTTCTAGACTAAACTATAAAATACCATTACAAGACTGTCAGCTATAACAACTCGTGCAATCCTGTAAACAATGTCAACCTATAAGTAGTTTAATAGATGGAAAGGAGATAATTCCCTGATCCCCTATACTACCTCCTAGCACATGTAAGCCTGGAAGAATAGATGGCAATAATGCAATCCTTTGTCTACACACCGAAATATACATCTAACTTAGAAATCACTTGCCATCATTCTTCAAGCTATAACACATACTCTACACACCACTGTGAACATTTCACACTGTCATTTAAGTTCCCGTTTCTATATCATCTGTAGCATTGCCTTTTCAATTGAAACAGGACAAGTATGCTGTTCAAAAGTAACTACATTTTTTTTTTTTGCAAATGTTGAAACAAAAGTGTACTACAGACTGCTAATGACAGTGTCCTTGCTGTGCCCAAGGTACTGGAATCAGTTCCTTTTTCTGTCAGACCACAAGAAAATTGTGTCAAATGTGAGCAGAAAACACAGGTCAACTGTAAAGGGTTCTGATGATGATGGAAGCACACCAAGTTTCTGAAACCATTCTGCTCAGAATACTGGACAATGAACAGAGTCCAGAAACCCAGTAAAACACACACACACATCCCTGTAAGGTAAATATGGCAGGTACAGTTGTCTGAGTTGTAACACTGCATAATTTAAAGAAAACTGGTATTTTCCAGGAACATAGTACCTTGTCCATCTTCAGGTTGAACAGTAAGCCAAGCAAGGAACAAGCAAAAGCTGGCAGCAAGCTGACTTACCCTTCACTGCTGAAGACGGGGCTGATATGTTCCTCCAAAGTATCAAACTCTCTCCAAACTACACAGCATTAAAACGCAACCTCAAATTCAGCAGGTAAATATAAGTTTAACATCAAGAGACAAAAGAGGCTATGCCCCCTTATACCTCTGGACTGGAGGCTCAGAGGGCCCATTGGACATGACAGCAGAGAGAAGAATCTTTGCCCTTTTTGAGATCAAACCCTGTATACTACTAATCACTACACTTACTGCTGTCCCATGGCTATACACTGTGCACAGACACCACCAATTTCCTCACTCAGAGCATCACAGGACCCACACAGCTGGTCTGCACCCACACACACGGGTTCATACAAGCACTGCGAGGACAATAAAGGATGTGATACTTGCCATATGGAGACTGTGTAAATAGAGGTGCACCACCAATTCCAATCTTTTGGGGAATTATTCCCACACTTCCCAGCACAAGACTGCCATGGGTTTCACCCACCTGCCTTAACAAGTAATGTCTGTTTAATGACATACTCAGTACCTCAGACTGAAGCATCAGATGGTAGGAAAACCAATGACGAGTTCAAGATCATGTGGAAAGAAACAGTCACAGCTTAACTGAAGGTGCTCTTACCCTGGCAGTTTGCCTGGAGGGACTGAGAAAAAACACTACAGGTGCAGAAAGAAAATTTAAATTGTGTTTTCAGCTAACCTGTCTTCACACTCAACATTCCATGGTGAGAATCTGAATGCCTCCTGTTAAGCACGCTACTAGGCTGAATAAATGGCGGTTCTGCAAGTCCTACTTCTCGAGCCATGCGTATTGCAGTGTTATGGAAATGTCTGGCAGGTTTTGGACATTCAGTGTGTCACAGGCAGACTTGCTTATGCCACCTGTTAGCAACATATTAATTTACAAGGTAACTGCAGCAGAATGAGTCTAGCTTAACAAGAAATTCATTATAGCAAGAATTATCATTAGCTCAATAAGTTTATGGGGAATGCTGCAAATGAAATGAGAACTTTCTGCTGGCAGTCTAGCATCACAAGTGATTTCCTAAATAGCCTAAACTCTTACTCTTTTCCTTAACATTTTGCATGCAAAAGCAGTGACTCTGCACCCCACAGCCATGGTGCCACTCTTATTTGAGCTCCAGGTGTACAGCTCAATGTCGGTGATTTTTTACTGGCTTTGATATCATGGATACACTTTTTAATTACATTCTAAACTAGTTCTAAACATTACTCCATTGTTCAAAATCTGACAGTAAAATAAAACCAGATAGTACAAAAAATTATACAAGGAAGTATTGTAATCCCTGTGAAAATAATTTGACTGGCATTTAATCATCAAGCACAAGTGATGGCAAATCGCCGCCATGTTGCCCAGAAACTTGTCAGACCTCGATTCTGCTCAACAAGTAATACTGCATCTTGACGCGCTGTGCCAGCATCCTCCGCCGTCATCACCATGCTACTCGCTACAAAGTCCTTAGAGGTTTTGTGGCTGCATCCAGTAGTGGAGTCCTCTCTGCATGTTGTGTCACATCCCGTGATTCATTACCAAGCTCCCTGATGCCAGGCATATCTTGGTGGGGCCTCTGCCATGCAGGCCGGTTGAGACTCGATTCCTGACACCTGATAAATAATACAAACACTCAGAGTCAACAGCAAACAAGACCACCACTTGAAATCCAACTATACAGCCTATACATATTAGACTCCCAGACCAACAGTATCTTTCTGCATGATATACCCATACGTCACACACAATAAAATCAAATCTTTGCAAATGCGGGTAATTGAGGCCCCATTAAGCTTGGCCCTCTGTTGGCCAAGCAGAAACCAGAGGCATTAGGACTTTCCACTGACCTGTCGATAGTGTAGCTCATGCAGGTACAGTGTGCTCAGACCAGTGGTGTGCGGTACTATTTTTGGTAAGGGAAGCAATAGTATCTAATAAACAAACTGATAGCAATCAACTCACCAAAATTTATTTGAAGACCAAATCTATTCTCCAGTCCTTAGCAGCAAAATTATTGATGACATGGTCGTAGAAGCCTTCACTGTTGCGAATATTTTCCAATAATATCTTCTCAGTGGACAACAGAGACAACCTGGACATTCTGTCTTCCCCTTGAGAGTTCCTCGCGTAAGTTGTAATTCTCTTCAGTGCAGAAAACGAACGTTCAACCGAAGCACTACTTGCAGGAATTGTCACAATCAGTTCACATAACTTTGTCAGCTGGTGTTGTGCACTGTCGATGTTTGTAGTTTTTAGATGTAGCAAAAGCTGACTTGCATTCTTTATGTTTAAATCTTCATTAGAATAAAATACACTCATTTCACTTCTTAAACGAGGAAAATTGAAGCGACATTTTCAGTGACAAAAAAGCAATTTCAGGAAATGTCTTTTCATACTCCTTATTGCAACTAGGATTTATTAATTCAAGAAACTTTAGCTTTTCTAAGTTCTGAAACCTTAATTCAATTTGACTCACATCATCAAAAATTTCATAATAAAGTTTTCTGAAGATTTTTTTACGTCTCCTACGTTGTCAAGACGCAATCGTTTGCTCTGTGGTTCATCAATTTCTTCATTTGAGGATGTTCGGAGAATACGTTCTCGAAGTTTTCTCTTTTCTTGGATATATCTTCTTTTCCTTCAGTCACTTTACGGCTACAAAAAGATATGTCATTTGATTTTGTTTGTAGTATGTCGAAAAGAACGGTGGTTACTGAAAACAAATCTTTGAAAACAGCAAGTAGAAAATTAAAGTTGAAATCTTGCAGCACAGAAAGAAATCCTCGAGCGGCAAAGTACCTTTCATTATCCCAGTTATTTGGATTTTCAATTATATTTTGGAACATGGTGTTCAATTCAAATTTGTACTCGTATACTGTCTCTACTAGACAACTGTTATAGTTCCACCTGGTTGGTGCGACTTTTGGAAACCTCTTTTTCACTTCTTGATCAAAACAGTGAGTCCTTTTAGAAGATGTAGAGAAAAAGGAAGAAAAGCTGTTCGGTGTTTTGAAAAACACATTGCACTCTTTAGTACTAGAGACAGACTGTGAAAGTACAAGATTAAGCTTATGTGCCATACAATGTATGAACATGACATTTGGACACATGTCTCTCACTTTAGTTTGTAGCCCATTAAGTTCACCTGAAATGACCGCCGCCCCATCATACGTTTGCGCCACTATTTTTCTGCCAAAATCATACTGAACTACACAGTCTATAATGCGTTCAGCTAACACCGATGCAGTTCAATCAGCACTCCCATCCGAAAATCCTAAAAACCGTTCTTGTATTTCACCATCACTAGTTGCATATCTTAATACGATTGAGAGCTGTGATTGGCTTTGAATGTCAGTCATCTCGTCAACCATTACAGCAACAAAAGGGGCCGAGCTTACTTTTCTTTTGATTTCTGTTAGAATTATGTCACTTATTGAGTCAGTAAGGTCGTTTTGTATTCTGTTCGATAAACCTGTAAATACTGTACTGTTCTCAAGGTGAGCATTGAGTTTATGATCATATTTCCTCAACAAATGAACTAATTCCACATAATTACCTCGGTCGATAGAATCCATGCTTTCGTAATGACCCCGGAGGGCAAGTTGTCTCTTTCCTAAATGGCAGATGATATCAATCGTTTCATTATTTCTCTATTTTCTTTCACATTTTCATTGTACTGTAGTATCGTTAGGCACTTTTGATTGTCAAGTTGATAGTCAATTCGAGACTTCCCAAACATGACAAGTTGCACTGTTGAAATAATGTGAGTCTGAGAGTTCTCATGTCGTTTCAGTACTTTATGAAGATTGTTGATATCACCAAACCCAGTCTTGTTCCATACATTTTTTTCATTGAGAAACAATAGGCATGGCCAACAAAACAATTTTCCTACATTACGGCAACCAGGTAGCCACTCTGTTTTAGAATACTGTTCCAAATTAAATTTCCTCACACATAATTTGGTTTGTGCTTTAGGTTCTGGCAAATCACACGTTGGTCGTCCTCTTTCTATAATCATTTTCTTTTCAGAAAAGTCCCTGCTATTAAACCCCCGTTTTAAAATGCTTTCGATTGCACAGTCGCAGTCGCGTTGTCTGCCAACATTCATTTTAGCTGTTGCCTGTGTGTGTAGTCTAATCATGCCCCTGCCCATGTACTGCAATACTGCACTTGCTTCCCTTAAACGCAGAGAGCTTCTTTCTGATGTGTCGAAATACGATCACAGATACAATCTTACGCCATGCACTTTCAATATTTTAATAAAACTTAATGTTACCTATAGCACCCAACAAGACTGAAATCACACATAAACAGTTAATTTTCACATAACAATCAAAAGAACACAGTCCTTCACTTCCATATCACAGGCTTTAGCCAGCAAAGCAAAAGTTGCTTCCTTTCCAACTTCGGGTAAGACAAATTATTATGAAGTTTAACGAAGGAAACTTGGTCCACCCTGCAAGCAGGGAAAGGGAGCAGGCAGAGGAGGCATGTGGCCTTGAGCAGGAACACGTGCTAAATGACAAAATTCAAATCATTATTATTCAAATTGAATTATTTATATATTACTTTTCTTTCTGTTTGTTAACTACGGAAGCAATGCTTCCCTTGCTTCCATGCACAGCATGCCACTGGCTCAGACTCATATCTGCAGCAATGGAGCCTTGTCTGGCACAGGAGCAAAAAGAGGCTGCTAAAGAGCTTGAGAATAACCCATCGACATCACCATCAGGTGCTTCAAAAAATGCTGCAGCACTTCCCTCAATGAATAAAATTCCAAAATGCACCCTTGTTTATGAGTTCACGTGTTCACTGATGTACATTGGTGGGTACTGCTGGGTGACTATTCCTCTGATAACATATTCAGATGTTATCTTGTGGTCTACTTTGAAAGGCGGGCCACAGTGTTGTGAGTAAAGTTCATTTAATGAATACACCATACAATAAAAGATATCAGTTCTTTACAGGTTACATATCAAGATATAACACATGACAACTGAACGCCTTTACGTAAAAACTGTCTCTTCACAGATGTCAGTCGAAATTCAATGTTATGCCAAAACAAACACTTAAATCACTTGGAGCACCGCGAATAATTATTATTAATTATAATTAATTCAGTAGTAGTGTTGGAAGGGGATCCCAAAAACCTAGGCTTTTTTCTATACAAAGCTATATTAAAGGACCAGAGCCTTCGGGGCAAAGGCCCTACTACATTATATCGATCACCTGCCCCCATTACAAAACTTAAATGTCTGTCAGAATTCATGCTTTATTCACGGTATTACCAATTACAAAATCTATTCTCACTTACTTCGTCCTTTCACTAAATATAAACATGTTCGTTGTGAAAGCCATTCTGTCACTTACCTTTCTAACTTCTTCCCCATGGGTTCTCTGCATCAAAAAATGTGTCTAATAACCCTGGGCAACCATTCTGTCACAGAATATAAGGCCAAACCTGATAGCGCCTCGAGCACTGGGACAATGCATGAAGCAACAATGGTTCACGTAACAGTAATCCGTGCTCAGCACTTATTGAATTGAATTGAATTTATTTACATTCTATAAATCCTAAGCAGGTTAGTACCTTTGGATACAGAACAAGTCAATAAGTTACATACATAAGTACAGGCAATTTTAGCTTAAAAATTAATATAACTTAATTTTACATCATTCTCTATTTACACTGAAGTATTCATCTAAAGAGTAGAAGGAATGAGCATGTAGATAATTCTTTAACTCTGATTTAAACTTTTTAGTATCATTGCCCAAGTTTTTAATACTTTGTGGCAGATTGTTGAACACTTTTATGCCAGTAAAGTAGACTCCTTTTTGATATACTGATAAAGTTGATGAGGGTAGGTGGAAGTTATATTTTTGTCTAGTATTCATGTTATAGACATCAGAATTTAATTTGAATTTATCTTTGTTGTAAACAACAAATAAGAGAAGCGATAATATGTATTGCGATTGAAGAGGTAGAATTTTTAATTTCTTAAATAATTCTCTACATGAATCTCTACTTCTACATCCTGTAATGATTCTAATTATATTCTTTTGTATTTTAAAAATTATTACACTATGTGAAGAGTTCCCCCAAAATATTAATCCATAGTTCATAATAGAATGAAAGTAGGCATGGTAAACCATCTTCAATGTTTCCTGTGACATAAAAGGCTTAATTGATCTCATCGCATAGCAAGCTGCATTTAATTTAGGTATAATTTGTTCAATATGTATTTTCCAAGACAGTGTACTGTCTACATGTATTCCAAGGAATTTTGTATCAAGTACTTTACAGATTAATTTGTTGGCATAACTGATGTCCAGATCAATTTGGTGGTTGTTTTTAGTTGTGAATGATATGTAATGGGTTTTATCAAAATTTAATGAGAGTAAATTGGCTTCGAACCATCTGTTTAAGGCTTCAAATACAATATTTATGTAATTTTTAAGGTTTTCAAATTTAGAGTTCTTAAATATTATACTAGTGTCATCTGCATATAGAATTGGTTTAGATTTATTGTTGATGGTTTTAGATAGATCATTTATGTAGAGAAGAAAAAGTAAGGGACCTAAAATTGATCCTTGTGGAACACCGTGCTTTATAATTCCCCAGTTTGAAAATGCATTATGACTGGAGTTTTTATTATTTATTTCAACTCTTTGATACCTGTTTTTGAGGTATGATTTGATCCATTCATTAGCTTTGCCAGTTATTCCATAGAAATTTAATTTCGATAGTAAGATATCATGATTAACACAATCGAAAGCTTTTGCTAGATCACAGAAAATCCCTCCCACAATTAATCTGTCATTGAGAGCACTTAAAATATCGTTAGTTAGTTCATAGGTTGCTTTTTCTGTTGTTAGGTCTTTCCTAAATCCAAATTGCTCTTTGACTAATATGTTGTTAGAATTTAAGTGTTCAAGTAGTCTATTATACATAACTTTTTCAAAGACTTTTGAGAATGAAGTCAATATGGATATTGGTCTGTAATTAGAGATGCATTTTCTCTCTCCTTTTTTAAAAAGTGGTTTCATTACAGCGTATTTTAAGCGTTGAGGAAAAGTACCTGATGATAAAGATTTATTACATAGATGATTCAAGGGTGAACTGATGTAAACAGAGCTTGCTTTAAGTAATTTGGTAGAGATTTCATCATATCCATGTGAATTTTTGGGCTTAAGGGATTTAATAATGTTTTCAATTTCCTTCCTTGTTGAGAATTTGAGATTTATATTTGGAAATGAATTGTTAAAGGCACGTGACAGATAGTATATAGGATTATTATTATTATTATTATTATTATTATTATTATTATTATTATTATTATTATTGGAATATGTTTTCTCAGCTAATGAAAGGAAATATTCATTAAATGCACTTGCGATAGCTTGTGGATTGTTAGTGGACTTCCCTTCAATATTCAAACTTTGTACGTCTTCATTAACAGATTTCTTTCCTGATTCAACTTTCACAATATCCCAGGTGGTTTTAATTTTATTGTTTGATTTTAGAATTTGGCTGTTATAGTTATTCTGTTTGGCTTCTTTAATGACTTTTGACAAAATTTTACAGTACATTTTGTAGTGACTTTTTAGTCTTGGATCATTACTGTCCCTACTGGCCAAATATAGTTGTCTTTTGTGTTTACATGAAGTTTTTATTCCAATTGTTATCCAGGTGGATTTGTTTTTATTTTCATTTTTGACTATTTTTAAGGGAAAGCTTGAATAAAAGATCCTCAAGTATGTGTTCAGAAAGCAATTAAATTTAGAATCAATATTATTGCTGTCAAATACATTGTCCCATGATTCATTACTTAATTTTGTGACAAAATCTGCCATCGTATGCTTGCTGATTTTCCTTACTGTTTGATATTGTTGATTACTGGGCTGAAGGTCAATATTATTTATTTCTATGAGTTGAGCATCATGATCGGATAAGCCATTTATAAAGGGTCCTACAGTATAGTCTCTTAATTTTGAGTTATCAATGAATATATTATCTATCGCTGAACTAGAATTATTTTGAACTCTTGTGGGAAAGTTAACAGTACTGGAGAGATTGTAAGATGATAACAAAGAGACTAAATTTAGTTTCCTATTACTGTCGATGAGAGTTTATATTTATATCACCACAAACCTCGGTGACCTCTGTATTCTACCAAGTACTGATACTTAGTAGAATACTGGTTGGTACTGGTGTTTAAACAATTATCTTGATTTATGGATTCTTTTTAGACATTCTTAAGAGTCAGAAAAGAATGCCATATGTGGAGGTAATGTCTGTGACCTAGCATCAGTGCCTAAACCAGTGGACAGTTTTATTTTAATCTGACACTGGAAATCTTTTCCATAAAAATCGTAAAAATGTTTCCATTTTACATCCATAATGATGGTCCTCAGCAAAACTTACTGTACACTTCATAAAAAAACTTTTTCATTTTTATCATAAACTATTAGTCTCATTATGTGGTCAAGTTTTGCCCAGTAAAATGAATGGAGGGTCCAGCAATCCATGTTTCTATCTTGATACAACACTTAAAAAAGTAGTATGATAACATAGCAATTACAATTAACGTTAAATGCAAAATCAATATTTGTCATTTTCAGCTGAGCCAGTCATCATCTTCTTCTTCATCATCATCATCAAATAATGGTGGTGGGGGTGGCTGTGGTCTCCAACTCTGAAAGAAAGTAACAGATTGTTAACCCTTCCATCAGCATCTGACTGAACCATCTATTCTACGTAATTTGCATATAAGAGATGCCTTTTTTTTTAATTCACTTAGTGGGGGGTGGAATCCAACTGGGTCCACTCGGCACAGCAGCCACCAATTGGCCTATTGTAGCCTGCCCCAGGTGATTATGATGATGGAGAATTTGGTGGAATGAAGACTGGCAGGGGAAACTGAATTACTCAGAGAAAACCTGCCCCAGCGCCACTTTGTCCACCACAAATCCCACTTGACCAGACCCGGGGTCGAACCCAGGCTGCCACGGTGGGAAGCCAGCAACTAACTGCTTGAGCTATGGTGCGGCTAAAGAGATGCCTTAGGGATGTAAATTCTTGGAGTGCAATGTTATAAGCTCACCCTTTCCAAAGAAGACTCTCTTAAGCGCCCATCTTTCTCCTTGCTTTCTTCCATTTGGTCAGTGAAGTCATCCATCTCTGTCACTGGTACTAGTCTAATGTGACGTGTAGGCTCACCAGCATTGTCAACTTGTACTGGTGGATCTAAGTCAGTCTGTCTGTCCACCACACTCCCCACATGGCTTCCTTCTTCTTCTTCTCCTTCTTCTTCTTCCTCTTCTAACTGATTCTTCTCCTGTGCAGCAGCAGTCCTCATAGGTTCACTTGAGTCAGACACTGCAGCCTCCAATCCTGAGTTCTGTAAAGACTTGCTTAAGCAGTCAGAATCCTCCTGTGCTCCAGGTTTCTTTGCACTGCCACCACCTTCCACCATTGGTGCAACCGGCTCATGAACAGAAGCTTGTGCTGCCCTTCTCCCCACCTCTGAGGTCACCGCAGACCCTGTCGTAACCACAGGAGCATGGATGCCATTTACAGCATCATTAGCATGTTGGGATCTTGATGAGTTAACTTCAATGTACTTCACTGTCACATCCTAAAGGTAAAAAAAAACAAACAAACAAACATGTCCTGAAGTATATGTCATATTTGTCTGTCCTTGTGCTTCAAGAACAGATAAAAGTCCCAAATAGAGTTCAAGACAACATTGACTACTAGTTATTGGTACATAGTTTTTAAGGGGCCATATTCATCTCAGTGTGATTTTCATTATTTTAGTTTTGGCTTTTGGTGTAATGGTTTAAGCACCTTAGCAATTTAACACACATTTAGTCTGCAGTTTGTGTAGAGTCTATCCTGTGAGCATGAAGTACAAACCACTTCCATCATAATGAGAATTCGTAACAGCAGGAGAACTGACACCCCTCACAGACAGGTTAGGACCTACACATTGATTTTAGATCACTGAAACTGAACAATATACGAGGAAAACAAACGGAAGAATGTTAAGTGGGGATTCCACTGAATGTGGTGAGGCCCAGTGTAAAGATGAGACTGTGCTGTATATTGGAGAAAGTTTACTTTGTCTGTCCTTTGGCTGCAAAGTGCAGTGAATATGTCTGTGATCACAGAACAATATTCTTCCATTCATACAGAAAAGGCTCCAAAAGCCAACAACGGAAAAACTTCATCATTACAATATTCTTGACATTCATCAGATCACTACTACGGGATCCCACACGGTGTACATGTGTACAGTACTGTTCAAGAAACACTGAACATTTACCAGTGTCAGTTATACAGTGTAAAAACTATTTGCTGGGGCAATAAATTTCTAGGAGTGCTTCTGTATTTTGCATGCTTGCATTTTAAAAGTTTACAACATTGTCATGTTGTAATACTAAAACCAGACGTAAAGATGTGAAGACACACATTTTCATACCAGCCACTTTGTTTGAGACACCCCCCAAACACAAACACACACACACACACACACACATGCACACAGGAAGAAGGAGCCTGTCAGGCAGCCTTCTGTTTTGGAAACTAGTCTAAGTATTCCACAAAAGAGATGTGAACTAGTTTACCCGTATATTTGACATAACGGTCCGTCTGATCTTCAAGCCATCATATGACACCTGAGGCACAAAATGAGGCTGCAACATGTGGTACAACACATTCATCACTTTCTTCACTTCGTCCACTACATTGGGAGCAGATGCAGAAGAGGAACCCTCCTGAAACTGTCAACATCACATTCATTTCAAGTAAATAATACTTAAGAACACAATTATAATAACCAGCAGATAATGATGGTCATTTGATCTGGAAACCAAACAAAGCTGCCGGTGACATGGCAGAGGCTCCTGAACACAGAGAAGCATCAAAGGACTGGAGAAATGCACAAATCGAGAAACTCCACAGTCAGTAACTAATTCCATGGAGCAGAACCCTCTCACAGGAGCTAACAACATTATTATTTCATGCTGCAAGACTTCATTGCTGGGTGTTCTGTTTGGGGTTCTCATGTCATGTAAGGTAGGGTAGGGTAGGGTAGGGTAGGGTAGGGTAAGGTAAGGTAAGGTAAGGTAAGGTAGCGTAAAGGTAAAGTTGTCCTTGCGCTTAACTCTTTAAACACTATGCCATGAAGGTGTGCGGGGGAGTGAATGCATAGATCCACATTTTCTTGACCTCAGCACTAGCTGGAGGTGAGTGGTCACCTTCAGGCCCTGGCAGCTTTACCCACGGGGAAAGAGAATCAACTGTATGTTGTGGTTATTTCCAGAATTGTTGTCATTATGGGTTAGTACCAGTATACGAGTGTTCCATCTCCATGGTTCAGATACTGCAGTGTTAGTGTTTTGTAGTTAAAGTTGGCCCTGGTTACATGTGGATAGTTACTCATGTAGAGGGCCCTGCCATAGTTCAGGCGGTCAGTCACTGGCCTCCCACCGCAGCGGACCAGGTTGGGACCTAGGTGAGGACAGGGGGGATTTGCAGTGGACAAAGTGGCACATGGCAGGTTTTCTCCAAGTACTTCGGTTTTCCCTACCAATTCATTCCACCAAATGCTCCACATTTGTCATCGTCCATCATATGGGGCTGATACAAGAGGTTCCATAGTGGCCGAAGTACAAAGTGGACTCAGTCTCACCCCACCCCAAGAAATTATATATATATAAGAGATAAAATATACAGTATACAGTGTACGATTGCATGCAAAGTGCAAGAACATATGTGGAAGCTACCATTGCACCCTTATAATCTTGAATCATAAAAATATGACAATTTTCTTGTATATTTTTTTAAGTACCACCCAAAGACAGCCACAAAATGGAAGAAAGCCGTTGTGGTCTTCAGTAGTTATCTTTATATATATATATATATATACATATTACACAATAAAACAGACTGTTCTCAGTTTTAAAAGAATGAGTCATTTCGCTAATTTTACAAATGTGGTTAATGCCACAGTAAATCCACTACTTGGAAAAGAAAACATGAATTGCCTGCTTTAATTAATCCTACAGGCCAAAAAGTTCTACATTAAAAGTCAGCACTTGTTCAAAAACAATGTTACCAACAATTCTAATATTTCACACAATCCTTTAAATTGCTCAGAGCTCTTACAATGAAGAAGATTAATCTTGTAGTTTGATATCAGGAAATTTATCTCTCAGCTCAATTCCATTCGTTCATATAAGAATCATGGAATCATTAAGTGAAGCAGTTTAAGAATTATTTCTGATCACATATTGGAAAACCTTCTGGGCAATGGTCTGCTTTCAACAAATTTGGTCATCAGAATTGTTGTAACCCTATGACTGTCCAGCGATTGAAATTAAATCTTTCTAACTGATCCAACAGAATAAATGTCTTCTGCCTCAACTCATGATGGAAACAGATTCAGCTTCCAAAACATTGGGTTCTTTAGAATAACAGATGGTGGACAAAGTCCAAAAACCAGCAATCCCAAATAAACTATCTTGTTCACCTCCCAACCATTGTTAATGGTTGCACCTAGGCTTATGTGACATGGCATGCTGAAATTCTACAGATGCTTTATTCAACCTATTCTCTTTAAAAATATCAATATTCCAACAACATGAACATTTCAGCTTATGTTCTACAACTTCGGGGCATGGTATTCAACATGACCACTGGAGGAAACGTTAAAGGGAAAGATCATAAAACATACACAAGTTATACATGTGGCTATTCTTCGGCAATGGTACGTCTATTTTAAAGAAGTGTGACATCATTCCTACCCAGAATTCCATGCTGTTATATCCATAACAGGATTACTGACCACGAACCCCTTTGCCCCTACATAACTGGGCTGCCTAACTACATTCAGTGAGACCAAACCAAAGATAAGAATTTGGAAAAGAAGGAGTAATTATAAACCTTATTAACAACTAGCTGTACCCGGCCGCGCATTGCTGTGGCTCAGTCTAACGAAATATTTCAACTCAAACGCAGATCAATCGACACAGCTCAATCCCACCACCAATTGCACTAAAAATAAAGAAAACAGTTAAGAAAACGAAATGAAAAACAATGAAAAATAAACTATACTCACGAAATGAACGCTATGGTAAATGACACAGCCCAATTCCAAAGCAATGTCACACGAAATAATTAAATCAAAATGAAAATAAATCAAAACTGTTTATATTCGGCGGTAGCTATCCCAAGACTGACTCCTTCGGCGGTTACTTCCAGACTCTCTTCTGTATCCCTCAGCATCTGTCCCGAGACAGACTGCTTCTTGTCCAAGCTGGACTATTTATACCTCGGCGGATGCTATACAATGAGCCTTCTGTTGTCTATCACAGGGGAAACACTTGGTTTCATCCATTGTTACGCAACGGAACCTCTTATCCTCTCATCTCCGGGGAAACGCGTTTGTTGTTTCGGCAATCCCTATGCAACGGCCAACTGTTATTGCGTTTCCATGGAAGTATACTTTCCGGTTTCACCCACTGTTATGCAACGGATCCTCTTATCCTTTAATCTCCGGGGAAACGCGTTTGTTGTTTCGGCAATCCCTATGCAACGGCCAACTGTTATTGCGTTTCCATGGAAGTATACTTTCCGGATTCATGCGTGGCCGGGTACAGCTAGTAGGTATATAAAAACACGCATGCATTCGAATGCAACGTTGTGTCAAAATTTCGAAGCAATCGGTGAAGAACTTTCAGAGATTTAAGATGACTAACCAATGAACATTTACTTTTCGGATTCACGCGTGGCTGGGTACAGCTAGTAGGTATATAAAAACACGCATGCATTCGAATGCAACGTTGTGTCAAAATTTCGAAGCAATCGGTGAAGAACTTTCGGAGATCTTCGAGGGGTAACAAACCAACATTTACGTTTTTATTTATATAGATTTACTTCAAGACGAAAACAATACAGACAAGAAGTTGTGGTATGAACTAATTGCCTGCTTTCCTTTGTTACATGGTCTGCGCAGAAAACGACGCCTCTAACTTTTCTTCGTTGTCATGGTAACGTGTTCACCAAGCCGCTGCCTGGCAAGGATGTATCATGTAGTGGCAGAAAATGTGAAAAGACACACTGTCTCCAATAGAGGTGATGAGAAAGGGTGAATGATGATTTATATCATCATCATCATCAGTAATCTGTCAAGACGACAGGTCCACAGTCTCTTTCAAAACAATTCCTCCACTTAATGCGATCTAGAGCTTTCTCCTTCAAATGACAGTATCCTCTTCTGTCCCCAAGGTCATCCAGCATCTTCTTACGTCTTCTTCCTCGTCTTCTTGTCACTTCTATCCGCCCATCTATCTTTCCTTCGATAGCTTCTTTTAGAAGGCAGTTTCTGCGTAAAACATGACCAATCCAATTAGCCTTCCGTTTTCTTATTTCATGTAGGATATTCCTCTGCTCACTGACTCTAATTAACACTTCTTCATTTCTCACATAATCGGTCCAACTGATCTTCTCCATTCTTCTCCAACACCACATTTCGAAACTTTCCAGATGTTTCTGATCTACTGCCCTAAGTGTCCATGTTTCAGCCCCATACAGAGCTATGCTCCAAATGTAGCATTTCACTAGTTTCTTCCTCAAATTTAAGTCCAATTTGCTGGTAAAAAGATTCTTCTTCTTGCTAAATGCAGCTTTTGCCATGGCAATCCTGGATTTAATTTCACAAGTACACCTTCCATCATCTGTTAACAAGCTACCCAAATATTTAAAACATTTCACATTCTCCACTTGTTTTTGGTCTATCTTTATTGTGACTGGGGTTGGTTGTCTCGAAATTTTCATTACTTTTGTTTTCTCCACATTCATTTCCATGCCATAGCACCTTCCAATTTCAATTAGTCTATCAATCATGCCCTGTAGCACAGTTTCTTCCTTAGCCATTAACACAAGGTCATCTGCATATTTCACAGTTTGAATAATTTGCCCTCCTACTTTGAAGTCACCGAGCCCATCCAGAGCTTCCTTGGTAAGGCATTCGCTGTACAAGTTGAACAGAATTGGTGATAAACAGCATCCTTGTCGAACTCCTCTTCCAATCTGCACACTTCCTGTCTCCCCCCTGTCCAGTCGTACTCTAACTTTCTGATCCATGTACAATTTGCTAATCAATCTTCTTTCATGCCAATCGATACCTGTTTCTTTCAGGATCTGCATTAATTTGGTCCAGTTTACCCGGTCAAATGCCTTCTGCCAGTCTATGAAGCAAACACACAGTTCTTCATCTATCTCCAAAGTTCGTTCCGCTATAATTCTCATCATCCCAATTGCATCCCTGGTTCCTTTTCCTCTTCTAAATCCAAACTGATCTTCTCCAAGTACATCCTCTATTTTCCTTTCAATTCTTCTTTTAAGTATCTTTGCTATTATCTTTGCTGTATGTGCAATAAGACTTATTGTGCGATGGTCGCTGCATTTTGTAGCTTTTGTCTTTTTCTTTAAGGCAATCATTGTAACTTCTGTAAAGTCCTTGGGCCACTCTCCACTTTCATATATGGTGTTCATTAGTTTTGTCAGTGTTTTCAAACCACCTTCTCCCAGTAACTTGAGCACATCTCCAGGTACATCATCATCTCCTGTAGCCTTTCCCTTCCTCATTTCCTTGATAGCTTTTTCCACCTCACTTTGTAAAATATATGGTCCTTTCTCGTCTGTATCTACTTCTTCTTCCGGTTCAACTTCTAAGGTTTCTGGCCGATTAGGTCGATCATATAGTTCTGAAATATAATTTTCCCAAATTTTCAGCACTTGCCTCTGATCTACTATTCTATTCCCCTGGGAGTCTTCGATGCCAACATTTTGAATCCCATGATTCTCTTTCCATCCTAGTTCTTTTGTCTTCATGTACATCAAATCATAACGGCCTGTTCTTTGAAATTCCATAATCTCATTACATATCTTCTCAAGATATTCCTTTTTGGCCCTGTCCGTGGCTCTTTTCAATTCATTCCTCAGTCTCCTGTATTTCCTCCTGCCTTCTTCATTGTTGACATTCTTCCATTTCCTTCGCTCCTCCATTTTACTCATCATCTCCTGTGTAACCCATGGTTTTCTTGCTATCTTCTCAACTTTACCTACCAAATCACTGATAGTATCTAACATGCATTCTTTTATATCGTTCCACTGCGCTTCAGCATTTCCGCTTTCACCTTCAATTGCACCGAGTTTCTCTTCTAGAGTCTCTTGCACGCTTTGTCTTTGAGCATATAACTTCTCCAAATCCCATCTGGGTCTGCGCTTTCGAAATCCTATAATTTTCTTCAACCTGGTTCGGAACTTGGCAACCAGCAGGTTGTGGTCAGAGTCAATGTCTGCCCCAGGAAGCGTCTTCACATCCTTCACACTGTTTCTGAATCGATGTTTCACAAGGATGTAGTCCAGCTGATGCCTCTTCCAATCCCCAGGTGCCTTCCATGTGTAAATTCTTCTCTTTGGCTTCTTGAACCAAGTGTTGGTAACAATCAATCCATTTCGTTCACAAAAGTCAATAAGCATTTGACCTCTGTGATTCCGTCTTCCTAGTCCATGTGATCCAACAATATTCTGATATGGTTCATCTCCAACAATGCTGTTCCAGTCTCCCAATATGATGCTGTTTGTGTCTCCTCTTCCATCTTCCTGAAGAATTTCTTCAATTTATATATAGAATTTATATTTATATTTATTTATAGAATGAGAACATGAATGGCCCCTGTAAAATCTGGAGAAAAAATAAACTGTTCATGTCATTGGTATGCAGTTCATGTATCCTAACCATCTGGAGAATATGGACCCTTATAATGGTTTTCTATATTCTCCTCCTACTACTGCCTACCAACTTTTCCTCTCTAGCCCTTAAAAGGTCCATACAGTTTACATGAACCAACTCTCATCTATTTTTCATCATTTCTGCTATGGAGCTGGAGATATTATGTTCATCTGGAACATATTCCACAGCAAGAGAATTCAGAAGAAAAAACCTAAAACTTGAACTGTTTTCCCATCCATATCAGCATATCACCCCTTCGTAAACAAAGTCAAATCTTTCTCCCAATGTCACAATTTCAAGCTGTGAATGACCACGTAGTACCTCAGGTGCTCACAGCAGTAGTTATGAAGAGTTCTCTGGGATACAATGTTGCACAGTCCACTGAAATCCAACCAACATTTTGAAGGAAAATGTAGCCTCCTTCTTCAGGGTCAGAGAATGAGCCAAGAAACCAGTACAGAGGCCAGCAGAGTCCACTTTCATGCCGGTTTCTTCCTTGGTTCATTTTTTGACCCTGAAAATGAAGGCAACATGTCCCTCTGAAATGTCAGCCAACTTTCAACAGGATACAAGGCATTATATCTGAAAATACAGAACTCTGTGAATAACCAGTTCACTTGTGCACCATCACGATTCACGATTTTAACTTGCAAACTGACTTACTACAAGTTCCATTGTACACACAGTGATCCCAACACTTTTACTTTTGTACTGGCTCATCAATGAAAAACCTAGTTCCTCTGGTTAAGTTTCCAATTTCTGGTTCCATAAACAGCAAAATGCTTGAAAAGTGAGTCAGTCAGACACAGACAGTGTGAAGTACCATAATGATGAACTCAGAGGTTACATACTCTCAAAGATATTTAGATAATCAAGTCTGTGATCTGAAGCAGTCACAGCATGTACCTAGCAACTGAGTAAAACCACAGGACAATCTCCCAGTCCAGATTCTTTACCAAAAAGTTCCTTAACCTAAGCCAGGTCAACTCAATTCAAAGACCCCCAGCTATAGCTAACATTACACTGCTGTCATATGAAGACTGTGTGACGTTGCCAGCATACCTGTATCTGCAGTTCTCTCAATCTGCCCTTCAGCACTGTGTTCTGCTGCTGCTGAGTCATCAGGTCCCTTCTGAGCTCTGCCAACTCTGCCTGAAATGTTGGTAACACTTATTTAATGACACTATCAATAGTTTAGCCAACCTATACAGTGCCAGACTGTAGGGTAATTAGTGATGGAATTTAAAGAAAGAAAGGGAGGAAGGGAAGGAGGGAAGTTGGGAAGGTAAGGATAGCTAGTCACTGACCAGAGGCTCAAACCTGAGACCACTGGAATATCAAGCCATAGTGCCACCTACTTGACTGTGATGTTTGCTCAAACTTTATCAAGACTCATTCATTCATCCACAGTTTTGACGCTTCATGTGGACACCAACTCCTGAAGTCAGGTGCTTGTGTGTTTGGAGAAAGACTTAAGGGGGGGCTGTAGTGTGCTTTTCATTTCATACATGATGAACTTCAGTGCAGTCCAACCAACCCCTGCTGAATCCTGTAATTGGTACCCTTCTTACACCCTACACCAGCCACCGCCAGGTATTGCAAAATGGACACATACACTTACATTTCAACAAGATCGTTCAACAGCCTCATAGGTGGCACTGCATGGTACTTTATCTCTAAACTTCCACCAAACTCTAAAATCAGCCCATAAGAAAGCCCCGTAATTCTACGCTACTACAGTAGTGCATAGCAATGAAAACGTTAGAGAGAATGTTTCTTGGCAAGTGAGTTACATTTAAACAGCAGGACTCATATGGATCTTGGAACTTCTTGCNATGTTATTTGGCAATATCCTGTTATTTTATCCTGCATTCTGAGGGGAGGGAGATGCCTTTCAAACAAATGATATCAATTTACAATGCAGGCACAGTCTTGAAGATGGTACAGATTTTATGAGTCTGTGTCAAGTCAACCTGGGGATTTTTACTTAGTATCTTTGGATAACAACTTGTTTCTGTGAGTACTGGACGAAAGCTAAAACTCTGATTTCATAAGAATTAAACTGATGAGCACTATCACTTCTGCAGTTCACATATCTGGAGACATCTGTAATATGAAATAATCACCGACTATTTATTGCCTTTATCTGAAATACTTGACTTTGCAAACCCAGAGTGTGAGTGTGTGTGTGTCATTTATCTGTCAAAGTACAAAAGCTATGCGGAAAGTGAAGATACAAAGTCCAGAAAATATTTGTAAAACATTTTTTTTGGGGATTCACTTGTAGCACTTTTAAAACACACCTTTATTTACTGTTCAACATAGTCACCATGGATTGCAATCCACTTAGTGAGCCTGGGAATGAGTTTTTCTATTCCAGCGTCATAGAAATTTCCCACGTGCTCTCTTAGCCATGTCATCACCGTGTCCTGAACCCCATCATTGTCCTAAAAAGTCTTTCGAGCCAGACTTTTCTTCAATTTAGAAAACAAGTAATAGTCACTTTGTGCAAGGTCTGGGCTGTGTGGTGGATGGGCCAATACTTCCCACTGTGCAGTAAGCACACTCCTCACATAAGCATTCCTCTCAGCTTGCTCTGAATAGCCCAATGCAGTATCTTCAGTGTCTCACAGTAAGCAGCAACATTGATGATGTCTCCTCAAGTGGACCCTTCCTGTCCCAGAAGATGGTTGCCATGATTTTTCAGTTTCATGGTGAACTTTTGAATATTTTCACTGTTGGTGAGTGTGTGTGTGCACCATTGTATAGACTGTCACTTATTCTCAGATGTGTGACAAGATACATACCCAAGTTTCATCTCCCATCATAATAGAGTCCAGAAAGTCGTGACCTTGATCCTCGTAACCAGCAAGGAATGCCTGCGCCGCAGACACTCGATTTTTCTTGTGATCGTATGTCAACATTTTCAGCAGCCAACCCATGCACAGTTTCTGCTAGCCTAATCCTTTTGTAACAATTTCATCCGGAACAGTTCTTGACACTTCTGGACATTGTTGATGAAGTTAATCAATGGTTAAACATCTGTCAGCATGAATGTCTTCATAAATTCTTTGGATGATTTCACTGGTGACAATGGATGGCCTTCCACTTCTTATTTCATCATGAACATCACTTCTTCCCTCTTCAAATTCAAACCGCAATTTTGCCATGTTTTGCCTGTTAATAACATCTTCACTGTAAAGAGAAGGAAGTTGGTGATGAATTTCAGCAGCAGTTTCTCCTTTCAAATTACTCCATGAACCTCACATTTGGTGGGATTTTGAATCGACACGGCCATTTTAAACACATACTGCGAGCACAATGTTGCCGTGACTGTGGCCGGAGAACTCTGCCCTGTCATACAGATCCTATTTCGCATGGAAGCACTGCCATTTCTAAAAAAAAAATTACCTTGCATTTTTACAGGACTTATTGTACCTTTACTTTCCAATGTCTCTCATATATTGTTTAACTTTGAAGATGAAAAGCTGGCTGCATTACTTGTCATGAAACAAAAACTGATAAAGGCATACAGTGAAGCTTGCTGTATTATCCAGGGCTACTATTCCCCTGAAATAAGTGATCCAGTTCCCTGCTAGGATAACAAACATGTCCACCCACAAACACACATCACTTAAAAAGGTCAGGAAAGTGTCTCTCGCCCTTCATTAAATCAAGATCACACAAATGGGGGGAACAGAGAAAAAAGAGGAATGGACGTAGAAAGAACCTGGTGAGACTTGATGAGTTCACTCATCTGCTGCTCATAGCCACTTGCATCTTCCTGCAGCTTCCTCTCCAGTTGATCTCTGATGGCCTGCAGGTCTCCAATTGTCTTGCTGTAAGCTTGTAGGTGTTGTTGCTCTTCTGTAAACATACAGCAAAGAAAAACTCAGAGTTTCCTTGTTGCACACTGGTAACCAGGTCAATAGCAGTCTCCAGTTTATGATAAAATTATGTAATGATATTGATGGACCTATTTATATTGCAGAAACATGAATTTGTATGAACACAAAAAGTGGTACAAAACATGATGCATATATATATATATATATATATATATATTGTAACGTCTTTTTGCCACCAAAGACGCTGTTCAGATTATTAATTGGTTTATTTAACAACCTACAGATCGTAACTACAATTAATTACAACACTGTTACGGGTTTACACACTTTACAAACCCTACACACAAATCTCTTCACACTGTCCTCAGTAGTCTACACGTATTCACAGTACGATACAGGAGCTATACAAGTGTCACTAAATTCCACACTCCCAATACCTTCTCAGCTATCACAAACTATCACTGATTATCACACGTTCCGGTATTCTTCTTTCCGTGTTCACGATATGCACTGTGTCACTCCTGATCACAAAACTCACTTCTAACTGCTCACTGCTGACTCCCTGGCTAACTCGTAACTAACTGTTGAATAGTGTTCGCTGCTTCTTATTTAGCCCTGTTACAGACAACACAGAAAACAGTTACATAATAGGCACCACTGTTGCGTAATGTCATGTTTACCGACTGCCTAGGAACAGTCGTTGCACGGACTCCCCGCCGTGTTTACAAAGGCGTTGCTGGGCAGCGCTGCCAAGAGTTGTTTACGACTACATAGCAACTGCGGCATCCCGTGTTACGTCACCATGGGGAAAGGGGTGTTTACCGAGCGTTGCACACCGATGGATGGAGTGGGGGTATGTGACGTCACTCATGAGATCACAGAGTTCACGCGAGCACCACCTCCCATTACGCCATCCACGTCACAATATACAGTAAAACTTGGTTATAGCAACATTGGTTTCTGCGACACCTTGTCTATTGCGTCAAATATTCAATGGTACGAACTAATTCCTCATAAAGCAACTGTTTTTATACCTTGCTTAGTATGACATGCACAAATGCATCAACCTCGTATGTAACATCATTTTCATTCCTGAATTTCTCTGATATCGTGGGAAAGTTCAATGTGTCTGCCCACCCTCACTTTCTCTACTTGCTGACGTGACTGTTCTGGAAGAATACGACAGCAGGCTGCAAGAGGAGCGTGTGTTTTATGCGAAAACAAGGGTGTGGGGTGGGACTGCGTGAATAGTGCAAGAGGACGCGGCAGGTTGTTAACTGCATTCCTTTCCTAGAATCTCATCTAACAGGACCTCACATTGTCTACTTACCATATAGTGTTCCTGCCTAAACCCAGAGAAGTGCAGTAGCGAAAACATGGCAATGAAAAGGAAAGTTTTAAGCATTGAAGAGAAAGTTAAAGTGATTCGTGAAATATTAAGTGCAACGATATTATT